GACAAATCATGTACAGAATACTTGTATTTGATATGATTATCTATCATTTACCTATTATTGAAGCTCTAATGGGGTTTTACAACGTGTAATATTTGTCGAAAGAATAACTTTTCTCCAGTCGGACGGGTACCAAAAGCATACTTTTCCCCGCGCGGCCGGGCCGTCCTGGACCATGAAAATTGTCTTTTTAAATCTGCAGAATAACTCTATGGGGTCATGTAGCCAAATTTCACTCTCAGACCCCGTGGAAAGACGAAAAACAATTACATGGCGATGTGAAAGTATGTATATAAAGTATATGAGCACATAGATAATTTTTGTGTACCCCATGACCTTTATTTTATTTATATTGTTACTTCCGTTTGTTTCTTTGTTTGTTTGTTGATTGTTTATTTGTTGTTTTTTTGTTAGTTTGCGTTTTCTAATATTTCTAAAAGTTATGAACGCATTTTAACGAGATTTTAACCAAAGGTGAGTTTTAACCTAACTTAGACGCTTATTGCAGTTTGGTGGTGATGCGGACCATGGTTTGGATCCAGGATTTTTTTTTTTTTTTTTAACTCGAAAAGTTATGAACAGATTTGAATAAAATTTTAACCTGAGGTTTCTAAGCCTAATTAATATTCTATAAAATTTTGGTGGTGATCCAGAATATTTGGCAAAACTACCCCCCATGAGTGGGGGGGGAGGTTTGCATTTTCGAAATATTTTGCTCATAGATCAAAGTAACTATGTATGATGAAAACATAAAGAAAAGAAAATACACCATATGAATAACATATCATGTTTAGTTATTTGTATGGAAAATTTCTTCATTGTCGTTTTTTGGACGCTTGCTGGATTTTTGAAATTATTCTGAAAAAAAGGTCTCATCTTGTGTGAAATTTGATAATATTTTTATTATCTCTAATCATTGTGTCGCAATTGCCGATTTTCTAAGGTAACATCAAAAAAATAATATATTAGTCGACATCGAAAATCGCTGCTACCACCTAAAAAATAACGGTCGGGCCTTGAAATTTTCAGGGGAGAACCGGGGGCCTAGAAACTCCTTGAAATGCATTTAAGTCAATTTCGGCAGGAGGGGCAAAAATCGCTGAAAAATCATCAGAAGGTCCCCTTAAACTTTCAAAGATGGCGGTTACATCCATAGAGTTTCATTGGCCGATTTTAAGCACTTTGTGCTAGTTTTACACATTTTTGATCGTTATTCTTCTTATTTAAGCTTGTTTTACCCCATGATTTCTCTGATATACTTCATGCCCTCCTCTGCTAACGGGACTATCAAATCAAGATCGTCGCTGGAGAAATGGTACTCGATCTCCTGAACGATTCATTCGCAAAAGAAACAACGCTGAAAATCGAAAAAATCATAGGATTTCATGCTGAAAAACATCTTTTTTTTTTTTTTACTTAGTCTCTTAGAGGGTGCGTCGCTCTCTAACAATTACCGTGCAGCAGTTTATGCTTATGAACTCTGGTTTCTCTGTGATTCAGTGGATTGTCAGTTGTGTGTTGGATTTGTTTCCCGCCAGCAGTAGTTTGTATTTGTCCATGAAGAGCTCCAAGTATTTGGTTGCTGCGTTCCTGGCATGCCGAACAGCAGGGAGAGGCAGGAGTGATACCAGAGACTCCAGCAGCGTCGAAACATCCGGATGAGCAGCCAGCCGACATCCCGTGAAGTCTCCCCAACACCACGCCGCATACCAGGTGGTTCTAACCCGGATGTACGCGAGGCTGTCCAGATGATGGTCAGAGAAGTAACCATGTTTGACCAGATCATAGAGAAGATCAACTCTCTAGCTGCAGAAGTACGGGAGTACAAGGAGCAGAATGATGCCCAACTACAGCGCCATGAAGAGGCCCGTGAACATCACACGCAGGAAGGGACTCTAGATCAAGAACAGCAAGCAGACAGTAACCACCATCAGCCACAGGAGAGAGAACTAGACCAGGAGGATCCAGTTCAGCAACTCCGCCGCTAGCTAGAGGAACGCAACAGGGAGCTGGAGGAGACCCGCCTTCAACTACTGCAGAAGAACGCTGTACCCGTGTCTGTGGTACATACCCGAGAACAGGAAATTCAGGAGCTCCGTCGCCAGCTAGAGGAACGGAACAGGGAGCTGACTGAGGCCCGCCAACAACTACAGGGGTCAGGTTTTGCACCAGCACCCATGGAATGTGCCCAAGACCGAGAGATTCAAGAGCTTCGTCGTTAACTTCAGCAGCGGGACCAGGAGCTAGCAGAGGTCCGCCGTCTCGCCCCCTCAGTACAACATACCATGACTAGGTGTCAAGACCACCATCAGCAGCCTCCTGTCATTAGTGGAAGCCACTCTCCTACTCAGCCTCTTCCCCAGAGCCGCCCCCACACGCCAGTACCAGAGCAGCAGCTGTATCCAGAATGTCAACACACGTATGACCCACAAACATCCCTGCCGCAGCAGTTCTGGCCAAGGTCTTCGCCTCAGCGTCCCCAGTCAGCACATCCTTCGTCTCAGTTGTCTGGCACACCATTTTCCTGTGTGTTCACGAAGGAAACTGTCCCGCACTTCAAGGGGGATACTTCTGCCTCAGAGCCGCTCAGAAAGAACCAAGCAATAGAGTTGGATTCTGACAATTGAAAACATCGTGAAGCCAGCCACATCAGAGATGTTCATTCAGGCAGCACGGGCAAACTGCAGAGGTCCAGCCAAGCTAATCATTAATTCCCCTCTCTTCGTCTCAATCACAGAATGGGACACATTCAAGGCAGCTCTCCGTAGTAAGTTCTGAGGTACCTACACCACCTCGGACTTCAACAAGATTCTATACGACATCTGGATGACACCAAGCCAGGCACCAATGGACTTCTTTTTGCAGTTGGAAGGGCACGTCTACCAGGGATACAGGGAGCACTGCGAGGCCATTGGTGATCCATCCGAACTAGTGAAGAGGGTCTTCTTGAGTGGCATCCCTGCATGGCTCCAAGACTTCCTCTCTGTTAAAGAAGATGGTAGCCCAACCCAGATAGCCGAAACAGCACAGCGCATCTGGAATTCACGCAATGGCATAAGGCATAGTGATACTTCACCAGCAGAGGAAAATCCTTACCACCCTAATCGCCCTCCACGGGGTCGGGATTTGTATGCTATGCCGGTAGATGCTGAGTGTTCCAGTCCATCTTATCACCAATCACCTGTCAGGGAGAGGTGGTGTGAGCATCATTGGGTAAGGACTCACGGTATATCTGAGTGCAGAGCCAGGGCTGAGATCCTAGATCCACCGTCTCCACGACGACGATGCTACCATTCAAGAGGTCCAGGACATTTGGTGAGAGATTGCCCCTTTCGTGAGCGCCAGGGTGACCAAGCTCCAGGAACTGCTGGCAGGTTCGATCCAAGGAGCACCTCACGTGGAGATGTTACCTCTCAAGAAGGGAATGGCAGTGACAGGGCCTACTGGATGGCCAGTTGCGGAATTCAATGTTAGTGGTTCTACAGTCCGCTGCTTTATTGATACAGGATCCGAAGCGACAATTATTAAAACCCAAGCTCTCAAGCGGATTGATCCTCATAACTACGTATGTCGGAGGAAGACTCAGTATTCTGCGAGGCGTGTCTGGTCAACCAATCAACACCCAGAGTGAGGTAACCCTTGTTTTCTGCCTTAACTCAGACCTTGAAATGCACCATACGGTCACTGTGTGATGCAAGATTTCCTGGAGACATACTCCTGGGGATGGACTTTTTGAGAAGAACCATCTTTAGCCTGTCCTCAAGGTCCCAGGATGACAGCGCCTGTCTGACTTTAGGAGGCCAGGAGTTTCATGTGAATTATACTGATGCACAATCCCTGCAGCTGAGTGTAGTGAGAGTGACCACACCAAATGTTCCAGAGAATGCTGAAGAGAGCTGCTTTTCCCCGTCTCGCTTGTCACCACCCGACATCTCTTCTGCTGTGCACCTTTACAGAACCACAGAGCTTCCACCACACAGTGGGCGTTTTCTTGGAGGGTGTAGGGGCAAGGTCTTGTTATGATGATGGGGATGTTTTGTTTACACCACAAGTAACAGCTGTGTGCATATCACCGTTTGTGCTGAGTACTGTTTCTAGATGGCGATGCCCTGTTTTGGCAGTCAACAGCACAACAAGGCCAATTCGATTAAAACAGGGTACATGTTTGGGGATGGTATCTGCTGTCGAGGCTGTTTTTACGGCAGAAACCTCAGCCTCTGAGACTTCCGACTACAATTCCTGCAACTCTGCTTGTCCAGATTTGAGTGATGACCAAAGGGTAGATGAAGATTTCCAGTGGGAGGAGGACCAGTTTGACAGAACCTTTGGAATAGAGGATTTTGGTTATGGCAGCACTGCCACTGATGTTGCGGATGATCTTCCGCCATCACAAGCCCTTGCCGCTATCGAAACCGCTAATATCCCATTGTCCTTAAAGACTGAAAACCAGATGCCTGATCTGGATCACTTAGGAGAAGATTAACGCCAGGAGTTGCAGAGTCTTCTGTGTAGCTACAGTACCCTTTTTAATGGAGGTGAGGGTGCTGTGGGCCACATCCCAGGCATTCAGCACAGGATTGATACAGGGCAAGCAACACCTGTATGTACCCGCCAGTGGCGTCTCCCGCAAGCAACCCGTCAAACAATACGCAAGCAGTGTGATGCCATGCTCAAGAATGGTGTCATTGAATCTTCAACTTCACCGTGGTTGAGCCCTGTTGTCCTGGTGAAGAAGAAAGACGGGTCACTTAGGGTCTGTGTGGATTACAGGAACTTGAATGCAGTAACAACAGCGGATACGTTGCCTCTGCCAAGAATTGATGAGCTTATTGATGAATTAGGCCCATCCGATACGTTCACCACTCTGGATGCAAGGGCAGCATATTGGTGTCGAGGTTCATCCTGAAGACCGTCCCAAGACAGCATTTAGCGATGGCTATAGGCTTTTTCAGTTTTGGAGGCTACCCTTTGGCCTCAGTACTGCACCTACCACTTTCCAGAGCATGAATTTCGTATTGTCATCTGTTCTTGGACACCACACCTTAGCGTACTTGGATGATGTGATTGTGTACTCCAGGGGCTTCTCGCAGCATTTGAAAGATCTAGAAGAAACCCTGCAGCTGCTGGCAGCAGCTGGATTGAAGCTGAACATAGAAAAGTGCAAGTTTGCTGCAACCACAATCAATTTTCTGGGTTTCACCATATCTCCTGAAGGTGTATCACCTCATCAAGATAAAGTTGCAACTATTTTAGCAACACCTGCACCGCAAACTGTTAAGGAAGTTCGTCGTTTTTGGGTGCTACAGGCTTTTTTAGGAAGCATATAGAAGGATACGCAACCAGCGCAGCTCCACTTCACCTCCTCTTGAAGAAAGGCCAGAGTTGGAAGTGAGAGAAAGACCAGCAACAAGCATTTGAAGAACTGAAAAAGCGTCTGGCATCAGCTTCAGTTCTGCGACAGCCAGACTTCGCAACCCTTTGAGCTACACAGATGCAAGTAGTATCGCTTTGGGAGCAGCTTTAATCCAACGAGATCACTGCATGCTATTGCGTACCATATAGTGAAACTCATTATCCAGCCATCGACTGTGAGGCATTAGTGGTTGTTGAGGGCGTTACTGTCTTTGATTCGTATTTATATGACCAAGTTTTTGATCTACACAGACCATCGTCCTCTTGTATACATATTTAAACATCGAACAAAATCACCACGGATGACCAGGTACGCCCATGATCTGTCTTATTATGATTTCGAGATCAGGTATAAGGAGGGGCCCACCAACTACGTCCCTGACTTGCTGTCGTGACAAATTGCTGCCATAGATGTTTGGGAGCTGTCGTCACAAGAACTTGCCCTGGAGCAACGCCAGGATCTTGCACATCAAGATATCTTATCCTATCTAAGTGATGGCACTGTACCGAAGAAAAAGCCTCCAGTTTCCCTCTCCGACTTCGAGATGAAAGATGGGGTCCTGTACCGGTTGTTACACCTGCCAGATAAGATTGTGTACCAGCTGTGCGTTCCGGAAAGATTGCGTGACTCGGCATTGAAAGCGGAGCAATGCAGGTATACATCGACATATGAGAATCTGCGGAACATGTTTACTGGCCCAATATGCTACGTGATGTCCGCCAGTATGTTGAACATTGCCTGTGTCAGCAGTCAAGAGGGTCACCCAACGTGCACCCGGTATACATCGGACATATGAGAATCTGCGGAACATGTTTTACTTGCCCAATATGCTACGTGATGTCCGCCAGTATGTTGAACATTGCCTTTACGTGTCAGCAGTCAAGAGGGTCGCCCAACGTGTTCCAATGGCCGATGCACCTCTAGCTCTTTATCCACTGGAACGTGTGTCAGTGGACATTCTCGACCTGTGCCAGGCACCCATGAGATGGGCATTAACTGTCTTAGACCAACATTCTCGGTTCATCCAGATCATCCCACTCCGAGATATAACAGCCTCTAGAGTACATCATGCCTTCCTTGACCATTGGATAACATACTTTGGTCCACCTCGTGTCATCCAGACTGATAATGGCCGGCAGTTCACTTCTAACCTGTTTGCTGAGCTAGTGGACATGTTACGAGCTTCACACCACTTCACCATCCAATATCACCCCCAGGCCAATGGACTCGTGGAACGCACCAACCGTGTTGTCAAGGCAGCTCTACGATCGGTGGTAGGAGATTGACCTAGGGACTGGCACAAGTTTATACCTGAACTGCGACTTGCCCTTAATTCCGCAATCCATCGTACGACAGGGGAGCAACCCCTCTACCTCCTAACAGGTCGACATGCATACTTTCCTGTACGTCTCACAAATGATGCAGTTTTCAGTGATAACAGTGCATTCCAAGAAAGACTCAAGACAGCTCACTGGGCAGCTGTGATGGCTTCCAGGGCTTCCCACGAAACTAATGAGAGGGCATACAACAAGCAAACCAAAGGGACCTTTGCTCCTGAAGAAGGGAACCTTGTTTGATATAAGGAGATGGTGCCACATCCCCTGGGTCCTAGATGGCTAGGGCCTGCCTGGATCTCTTAAAAGATTTGGTCCAGTGTCGTTTGAGGTGCAACATCTGGACTCTGGCAAGGTTGTGAGGGCTCACTTTAATCATTTATGTGCTTATCACCCACCACAAGAGTTGTATCCTGATGACAATATTGATCCAGATGAAGGGGAAGAGGAAGAGGCGCCTTCTGCACCTGATGATCTTTGGGTGGCTATCCTCACAACCTGTGTGCATGATTTCATAACCCGTGAGCCAGCCACAATCAACGAGGATGAAGACAATTAGAGACCTTGGTCCAGTACACCCAGGCTATGTGCCATGCTGAATCAAGGATTGCTATTACTTCGATGCGCTAGGGACCTTGGTCCAGTACGCCCAGGCTATGTGCCATGCTGGATCAAGGATTGCTGTTACTTCGATGCGCTAGGCACCTTGGTCCAGTATGCCCAGGCTATATGCCATGCTGGATCAAGGATTGCTGTTACTTCGATGCGCTAGGGACCTTGGTCCAGTACGCCCAGGCTATGTGCCATGCTGGATCAAGGATTGCTGTTACTTCGATCTTGGTCCAGTACGCCAGGCTATGTGCCATGCTGGATCAAGGATTGCTGTCGATGCGCTAGGACCTTGGTCCAGTATGCCCAGGCTATATGCCATGCTGGATCAAGGATTGCTGTTACTTCGATGCGCTAGGGACCTTGGTCCAGTACGCCCAGGCTATGTGCCATGCTGGATCAAGGATTGCTGTTACTTCGATGCACTAGGGACCTTGGCCCAGGCTATGTGCCATACTGGATCAAGGATTGCTGTTACTTCGATGCACTAGGCACCTTGGTCCAGCCAGGCTATGTGCCATGCTGGATCAAGGATTGCTGTTACTTCGATGCCCTAGGGACTTTGGTCCAGTACGCCCAGGCTATGTGCCATGCTGGATCAAGGATTGCTGTTACTTCGATGCACCTTGGTCCAGTACGCCCAGGCCCATGCTGGATCAAGGATTGCTGTTACTTCGATGCACTAGGACCTTGTCCAGTTGTGCCATGCTGGATCAAGGATTGCTGTTACTTCAATGCACTAGGGACCTTGGTCCAGTACGCCCAGGCTTTGTGCCATGCCGACCAAGGATTGCCGTTAGCTCTACCAACAAGGGAGCTTGGTTCCAGTGCGCCCTTGGCTGTGTACCACACTGGATCAAGCAAGGCTGTTAGCTGTGTGCTAGGGAGCTTGGACTCTGCGCCTTGGCTGTGTGCCATGCTGGTTCAAGTGCTGCTGCTAGCCTGCTGTAGGGACTCTACTGTCAGTGCGCACTTGGCTGTGTGCCACACTGCAGTAGAGATTGCTGTTCATCTGTTGTTCCACTGCACCACGTGTCCTGGGAGTGTTGAGACCGTCCAGATGCAACCAAATGTTACCAGATGCTCCTGATTTTTGTTTTATGGTGATGGGATTTTTATTTAATATTACTGTTCTTTTATGATCACCTGTCAAACTTATGTCTGCTCCTTTGTGTTTGTCAGGACTCAGGCTTGCTTTTATCTTCCAGGTCTCCGCTGTTCGCTTTGACCCAGACCGGGGGAGGAATTCTGTAAGGTGGTATTGGATACTGCATCTCATCCTCTCCGCTCTCCCACTCTGACTGCCGTGTTGGAGGATTGTCTCACGTGTCTCACCTCGGTTTTGTGTTTTTCTCGATTTTATTTACTTTTATTGTTTTATATTAGTTCCCCCTTTTTATTCTGTTTTCTCTGAGCAATTTTTATTTATGATTTAACGAGACATTTTTATGACCCTTTTATCATCAGCTTTTATTCATTGTAGTTTTAAGGTCTTGTATTTACTTGGTTTTCATTTTTAGTTGTAGGGGAAGCATTTTTACGTACAGTGTTTATTTGTTCTTTTTAGTTATTGTATTTTTTTCTTGTGATTTCTATTTTATACTTTGTTTTAGTTTTATTCATTTTTATGCGCCTTTTTAGCTTAATTATTGCAAGACTATATTTTGTAAAAGTGTTTGGCCTCTGGCGTCACCAGGGCATTGAAAAAAGAAACAAACAGTACGATTCGAGACGTCAACGAGTGCGGGTCGGTATCCTCCGAAACTTTGAACCACCGGCAGTGTTGCCATATTTGTTGAACCGAACACAGAGACGATCACGGAAGATAACAAGTACTGAGATCCTGATATCCTTTGCATAGGAGCTGGACGTGATCCTAATAACATTTTTATTGAATGATTTGAACATCCTTTTATTTATTTACTTATTTTTAAATGAACTTGCTGGTTTGTTTCTCTCTGTTTTATTTGTAACTTTTAACTTTTCAAAGTAGGAAGTCTGTGTGATCTTTTAGTTTTAGTTTTCCTGTTTCGGTGTCACCAGACTCGGGTTTTATACTGTCGTATTTTGTTCTTTTAGGTTTAAGGGGTTTTAAGCCTTCAGCTCTGACGCCAGACTTACAGGTTTTGTCTTTGTTTTATGGTAAGGCCTTCAGCCAGGCTCTCCACTCTGGAAGTCTTTTTCTATTAGTTTTTGCATATGACAGTCAGTAATCTTAGGTGCCTTAGCACATTCTTTCACTTTTGTATTTTTCTTGGATTACTTTTTAGTATGTATTTTACCATATGGTTAGGCTGAACGTCAGAAAGTGGTATTCACACTGGAACACCCCTTTTAATGATTCAGTCTCCCCCTCACGCTACCACATAAGGGGATTGAATTGACAGGGGTTAACCAGGTCTATTTGCGCCTGTATCCCCCACCAGCATCAAGGGAGGGCAGAATTCTAAGAGTGTCTTGATAAACTGGGACGGGACCCCTGGGTTAGACGGATCACACTACACTATGGTCCTGGTAAAGAATGGAAAGGGGTATACGCTGGTAGCAAACCTATCTAAAACAATATGCAAATTGAGAATGAATTAGCGGATAGGCAAAGTTGCGAGAGCAGAGGAAATAGAAGAGAGGGAAGTTAAATATTGCAGCGTTAAATTTGGACATGAGAAGTTGCCTGAAATAGAAGACATTGATGAACATTTAACTACAAATCAAAAGGAGGAGGTAATAAGACTGTTTGAAGAAAATAGTGACATTTTTGCTAATGAGAGTGGGCCAATAGGTACAGCTACGGGTGTCCAACATAACATACCGCTGACAACTGATCATCCTATTAGAATACCTTATAGACGAATACCACCGAATCAGGTCCCGGAGGTAAAAGAACATACCAGAAAGTTATGCGAACAAGGTGCGATCACCCCGAGCATAAGTCCCTACTCTGCTGCAATTGGCGTGGTGTGCATAGATTACCGACAACTTAACAAATATACAATTAGAGACGCGTTTCCTCTGCCGAGAATTAATGAGACGGTCGAAGCATTGGCAAAGTTTTTTTCAACACTTGATTTAGCTGTAGGATATCACCAAATATAAGTCCACCCAAAAGATCAGCATGAAACTGCATTTAGCACACCTTTCGGTCATGAATTTAAAAGACTGCCGATGGGATTATCCAACAGTCCAAGCACATTTCAGCATTACATGGAGAGGATTCTGGGAGACAAGATTTTTACTACGTTATTGGTATATTTAGACGATGTAATTGTATTAAGCAGAACCGTTGAAGAACATATGGATAGATTAAGGAATCTATTTGAAAGAGTGCGAAGAAACGGACTAAAAATTAAACCTAAGAAGCGTACTCTGCATTAAAAGTAACCTTAGGATACTAGGTTTCGGAAGAGGGCGTGACTACAGACCCAGTGAAAGTGGAAGCAGTGAAGTCATGGCCTCTGCCGAAGACTGTCAGGGATGACAGAGCATTTTTTGGATTGTTCATTTTACAGAAAATTTGTTAAACATTTTGCACAGACGGCAGCACCGCTACATGCTCTGTCAGGAGATTCGCGGAGATCGGCTGTCGGGGAATGGGAGGAGAAATGTCAGAAAGCGTTCGAGGACTTAAAGGAAATGTTAATTGCAGCCCCTGTGTTAAAATGCCCTGATTTTACGAAAGAATTCATATTAGAAACCGATGCGAGTTTTAAGGGACTGGGAGCCGTGCTATCACAGAAGCATGAGGGAAAGATTCATCCGGTATGTTAGTAGAAGCCTAAGAAACTCTGAAAGAAACATGGTGAATTATAGCTCAGGGAAATTAGAATTATTAGCATTGAAATGGGCAGTTTTATTT